AGTGGGACTCGGGCACTGGCCCCACTCACCAGTCCTTAACCACGATGTCAGGCCGGAACGTGTCCAGCAGCTCCTCCCAGTAGCCCTCAGCTTTGAGGTCCACCAGCTGGGACTTGAGGCATAAGCTGGGGAGCAGAAAGAAAGGCTTGCACTCCCAGGTGTGCTCTGCATGGCCCAGAGCCAGGTGGATGGTTCAGCCACTGGCTGGTTCTGACTCTGGCCCCCACCTCGGCGCAGGCCCAAGAGAAACATGCGGGGAGTTTGACCCCCTTGAGCCTGGGCGACATCTGATCCGTCCATAGGCCCAGTCCTCTGGGGCCCCAAGGAGGGCATCTCTGTGGACTCACATTCCTAGATTAGGGACAGCCTGTAGACACCCCTGCCTTACCCTAACTGCCCCATGGGCCCCCGGCCTCCTTACATAGATCTCCACCCCCCACTGCCTGTTAGCCCAGCCACTGAGTTACTCCTGCTCCAGGAAGGAGCAGGCTCTGAGCTGGATTTGGAGCCAGCTCCCTCGAACTTCATAGAGAGACCCTGACATAGGCCTAGGGTTTGGCAAAGTGTCCTGACCCTCTTCCCCGCTCCCCTCCCCCAGCCTGCTAGGTTCAGTCTGTCTTACGCAAAGGATGTGACGAAGTACTTCTTAACTTTGGAGTCAGGAAAATCTGTCCCGTGGGCTCCAGGGAGGGTCTCTACCTTCCATTGGTTCCCCCCATTGAAGTCAATTTGCCAGGAAGTCATATCGTCTAGGAAACAGAAGCCGAGGTGAGCTCCGGTGTAAACGTACAGGCTGGTCCTCCCCACCTGGCCCTGGGAGGGAGGGTGAAAGGCAGGACTCAGGCTTAGATCTCAAGGTGCGCACCCGACTAGGCCTCGCAGCGCCCCTACAAAGCTCCAGCACATTCCCACCTGTCCACACCGTATCAGCTCTGATCTGGACCCTCTCCCTCCCACTCTGTCCCTGACTAGCTTGGCTCCTAACATGAAGCTGGAAAAAGTATTACCAGAAATCCTAAATCAATCTTTCCTCACTTCCACGTTGCCAAAGGGTTCTCGGAAACACCGAAGTTTCGGTTCTCAAAACATTTAATTAGGAGGGGCCCGTGATGGTACTGCTGCTCTTAATGGGTAATGTGAGTTTGTCCCAACTTGGACGGCTTACTTGATGATTGACATTCCCCCAACACCCTAACCAAGTAACAGATCTGAGGGGGTTGACGACCAACTTACAGGTTTGTTGGTCATGGGAACTGCTGCCCAGAACAGGAGGGAGAGTGACTGGAAGAACAGGCACCCTCTGGTTGGTGGCATGTTGTCACCCCCACCTCCGTGGAAGGAACCTCACCAGGTTGGCTAGGCAGGTTCTGATCTCCCCCTTCAAACTGAGCTGAGAAGACCTTAGAAAACAGTCTTTCTCACCAAGGCTTTCTAGAACAATCACCAGGGGAGCTTTTCCAAATTACTCCCTTTTTCCTTCTGCCAGGAGCCCACATCTATTCACCAGGTGCCTGGGGTCCCCCCAGTAGAGAACCAGAGGAGTAATACAGAAATTCAGGAGCTGGGTTGCACAGAGCGTAGGCCCAAGGGGAGAGCTAAGTGAGGCCGGGCTGGGTGCTGCTGGGCCCAGGGCCCAGGGCCCAAGGCAAGGCTGCAGGTTGGCTCTAAAGGGCTGCGTGAGCTGAGCTGGTGCCCGGCTGGGCAGTTCTGAGTGGAATCTGGGGCAGGCGGAGAGATTGAGTGTCTGGGGCACTGTCTATGGGGCTCCTGAGAGGGGCCTTCAGCAGCTGGGCAGTTCTGGATCTTTGGGTAAGACACTCATCGTGGAGACTAATGCTCCCCATCTATAAAAGGGAGCCAATCCTACTTAATTTGGCCAACTCCTGGGCTCCACATGAGGATAGAGAAAATAGACACGAAGGGATTCTAAGTGTACACATTATGCCTCTTAACCAATCGCTCCTGTAGCCCCAACAAGAAGCACTGTGCCTGGTAAGTAGTAGGTGCTAACAAAGGGAAAAAAACCCTGGCAAATACAACAGAACATTTTGAGCTAAACAGGTGTCAAATTATGTGATTGCAGTCACCTCTCAAAATCCTCATTTTTTTCATCTGTTTATAATTACATTTGTGAAGACCTCAGACTAGTAGTGCCTGGCACGAGGGAAGCCTTCCATAAACATTAGGCAGCTTGGACTGAACCAAAGGGGGAAAGGTGGACCTGCAGGTTGTTCATCCATTCGACAAACGTTTCTTGAGCACCTGCTATATGAAGGCATCCCTGTGCACTGGGTGGAGAGAGGCAAGCAAGATCCATTAGGCCCCTGGAACTTGAAGTTAGTGGCAGAGGAAAAGAAAAAAAACAAGTAAAGAGGTAATTATAGGTTATGAAAAGTGCTATGAAGGAACTGAATGGGGGTGATATGCTCGAGGTAGAGAGCGCTTTTTTCAGATGGACCAGGGCAGGTCTCTGAATTGAGAACTCAAGAATGAGGAGGAACCAAGGGTACACGATGGGTATTAGGGTTTGAGGAAATATTCCAGCGAGCGTGGGAATGGCAAGTGCAAAGGCCCTGAGGTTCCGGGAAGGGAGGGAAGCAGCCCACCTTCGGCACATGGGTTGCGTAGGAGGTTCCTGCGGAGGCTGCACAGAAAGAAGAAGATCTTCCAATTGGCCACAGGCTCATTCCAGTCCTTAGTGATGAAGCCTTTACGCAGGCTCTTGCGTTTCCAGAGACTTTGGACATCAATGAGGTCACGCCAGAGGCTGCAGACCCGGCGGCAGCGCAGCAGGTGGCGGGCGGGCACGTGCGTGAATACCTCCAGCAGGAAGTTCTCTGGCAGCTCGTTGATGCTGAACAGGGCCATGGCTGGGGTGGGTGGGAAGCACACACAGGCCTGTGGGGGGGCAATCATGGTTATGAACCCTGACCAAGGGGATGGGCCCCTCATTTCCCCAGGGATGTGGGCCAGGGAACATTCATCCTGCTTTTGCAAAACTGGAGGTGTCAGACCGGGAGCATCTGAGCATCCTTCCAGCACATAGCAGGCCTAAGGGGTGCTTGCATGTCACACACGTTTGAAAGACCGCAAAAGAAGTATTAAAGTGTTTAGGGACTAATTTTTTGAGGCCTCTTCCATTAAGAAAGTACTGCATAATTTTAAGTTGGTAAGCCTGGTGAACACTGTTTTTGCTCAGCCCCCACTGTTGTCTGCGAGCTCCGTTAGGTGATATTTTAATGCTGGGAATTCACTCTTATAAAATCTTAAATAATAATAATAATAATATAAAATCTTTATTACACTCCCAGACTAGGACACAACTTCATTAAGTCGTGGGGCTAGTGCTGAGGAACCAACCCCTTCTCCCCAAATTGCTTACTTTGGCCTAGAAGCCAGATGTGATACAACGTTCCAGTGAGGAGCACCTCATCCCGCCAACATACACAGTTCTGGGGTGGGTGTCAGGCCAGAGCCCACTCTGAAATGCCCAGATACCAAAAAGCTGACGGAGGGCCCCAGAGCAAGACCACCTGGGTTTGAATCCTGGCCTGCAGTGACTGGGAAGCTGTAAAAATGAGGGGTTACCTGTCCCATCTTCAGAAGGGCTGGGCGGGGCTGGGCTGAGCTGGTACAAGTAAAGCATTTAGTGCAGGGCATCATTTAACAACACTTCTGCCATTAAAGCAAAAGCAAAACCAAAGTATTTGTAGAGCAACTTGTCCCCAAGAACACCTGCCTCTCTCTGTATCTGAACTGCTAAGGGTTTTGAAGAATGTACAGTGTGCCACCACTCACTGTGTCCTGAATCTTGCCTGGGGGATTCTGGTAATCCAGATCTCTAAGCAGATCCCCTAGGTGGGTGAGGGGAGGGAAGGACATTCTCCATAGAGACTGGGACAAAGAAGCAGTTCATTGTCTTCTTAAAGCTCCCATCCTGGAAAAAATGAGGGTGGGCACACGCTCTGGCTCCTGCCCAGGGAGGAGCATTTTAGCATATAAACGGATACATAAGCAATAAACGGATACATAAGACGCGTATGCGAAATATTGTGATAGAAAAACAAAACAAAACAAAACTCTGTGTGACCAGGTCTTCTGAATTTTTCAGGAGGAACACTCAATTTTTTTAAAATATGAATCCTGTCAATGTTTAAACTTCTAAAAACACGAGGCAAAAGTCGCTGGGCTCTGAGTTAGGGAGGAACAGCTCCTCACCGGGGGGGTCTAATGCCTGGTCTTTGGCTCTGGTCGCCTGTTATCACTTCCCCCAACCCTTAGTTTCTGTCCTTCGTGGGCCTGGCATGAAGCCTGACTGCGCAGGGGCCGGGTGGGGTGGGGTGAAGCCCATCCCGGGGTATTTGGGGTGGAACCATCCACGCCAGCCCTTAAAAGCCACCTCGC